ATGGATCCCATCAATAATTATTGCTATGAATTCCAATTATAATAAAACTATAAGAAAATTACTAAAATCCTCATCTGTCTAAGGACATTAAGATTTGAAACCCAATGCCCTAGCTGCAGAGGAGGACAATGTAAGTGAAAAGAATCTGACAAAATTCACTGGTAAGGAAATGGTATCCAGATAAAAAGAGACCTGTAGTAACCCTTTTTCTTTGGCCACCCGAGACACCCCTGAGCATATCGTTCCCAACCACGGTGTCAGAACATACATCAAGACCAAGCACTTTCATGACATAATCTGTTGAAATGCTATGCTTTTTACCGCCAACAGATGATGCCTGTGCAAAATCAAAGAAGTAAATACAAATCTTAAATCAGGAAAAGAGTAAACACTGAAAAATAAATGCACAGGTAGTTCATATAAATTTTTAAAAAGGTGACCTTCATGAAAGCATCAATCTCTGGGACTGGACGTATCTTCCTTTCTTTTTCTAAACTGGCTAAATCTTTCATATACTCTACAAGTTTATATAAATATAAAAAGTACATGAGAAAAGTAGTCAACTGAAACAGAAGTTAGAAAGCTTAACAAGGTTACAACAAAAAGAAGACGAGGGGTGCAGTTTATAACAAGGTTAACTACCAAAGCTTGGGACACAAGGATATATACAAAAAGAAAAAGAAAAATCAAATCACAGGAAAAATGGGTTGTTCCCGCTCATGGCCTCGGTCATGAGCTTAGTCCACTTTTTAACAAAAAAAAAAAAAAGCTTACTCCACTTCTAAAAGTCTCCGGTAATTAGCAGGAGACTAATAACATTGAGGCACAATGTAACATCAGAAACATCATTATATTTTTCCTTCTTTTTGCTGTGATGATGAATTTAACAGGACAATAATAGTAAGTAACACAAAGTTGAAAATCTAACGTTAAAGTGAACTACAAGTATAACTAACATTTCCAGATGGTGGAAGTTAACAAACCTGCCAATCCTTCACTTGCACCTTGACATCTAGCAGCAAAATCAAAAGTTTCTCGTACAGTGAGCTCTGGAATGTGATCATCTGTTTGGCTAATGTACGCAGAAGTCCTTCTAACATGAAACTTATCAAGTTGTGTGCCATTGTATGTGATTTCACCACTTGTCTGCAAAACATAAAAAGAAGTTTTTTATATTAACAATTACAGCTGCCTTTTCTAAACTTAGACTGTGCTGCAATGACACGTTTTTACAGTATAGTTTCATCGTTGCTTTAAATGTTGATCCTTCAGTAGGGATAAGAAAGCTTGGGCTAACATCCCTGATACTCCAACGGACCCGATATACTACCTAGGACTAAAAGGTACAAATCTGTCTTTTTATAGGAGTTTCCCCGCTTATAAGCCCAAATTTATTCATAACAAAGCAGTTTCGTTGACCATTGACCGTTGAATTTTCACCGTAAAAATTTGGTCTTTCAGCAGGGGTTGTTCAGTGTTCACGAATTACAACTCCTATGGACAAAAAGCAAGTTGGAAAGTGATACGGAGTGATTCTTGACAATGACAGCAATTAACAAGCATGCAATGAGTTTCATGTGTTGTGCTCAAGAGCAGATATGCAACAATGACTAACCTTCAAAGTCTTGTCGTCAAGCTTCCCAGCAAGAGCTAAAAGCAAGGTGGATTTGCCCGATCCTGGGGGTCCCAACAGCAAGGTCATCCTAAAAGAAGCAAAATATTTATAGAAAAAATATTAGTTGCAACTTTGGTAGTATTATCATTAAAATGGTTGACAAACCCGTGCAAGTAGCTACAAACTCTGATTTTCCAAATGCTTTTTGGTTGCTAATTGAAGATATATTGCGTGCATGGACAAGAAAGAAAGAATTAACAAGGATGATAGTAATACCTTCCAGGTTTAACAACACCACTGACGTTTCTCAAGATGTTTAACCGGAATCGTTTAGGACGTAATATCCTCAAACTTGTTGCGATTCTCTGTATTGAAATCAACACAGGTATGGTGTTACTATGTATAGAACCAACAGAAAATTAAGAGAAGGGAAAAGAAAGATACGTAAGATACTAAACCTCAAAGAAGTCACGAGTAACGTTGATTAAAGTAGGTAAAGCTCTTGAGCCAATTTGAGCATCCGCCTCGACATTGAGGTTCTGGAACCTTACTTCAATCTTCGCCACCTCTATCCCAACTCTGTCAAAAGTTTTTTTTTTTTTTAAATAAATAAATCTCAACCATAATCAAAGATCAAAACTCAAAAGAAATCACATGAAAAACGTGAAACCTATCAAGGCGTTCTTTCATAGCAGAGAGAAGCCAATAATTATCTTGGTCGTCCGTAGCCAACGCTTTCTTCACAAGGAGTTCTCTTCTAGTTCGATCAAGCTTGGTCACATCAATCGTCTCCGTCCCTCCGTTTTCTCCTACTCCTCCACCACGTTCATGATCCGATGGAGTCCCTCTCAGAATCGCGAAATGTCCTCGCTTTACAGACGGCAACCGCGATATTGCTTCCCACATAAGCTCTTCCTCATCTTGCTGAACGGCCTCCGCATTTGACGGTCTATGAAAAGACTCCCCAACCGCCTCCATATCGAACTCAAAATATTCGCTTCCATTGGAGGCCGCCATAGCCTCCGTCTCTCTGTTTTTTCTTCGTAAAAGCTTTCAAAGGAGGGGTGAAGGTATTTATACAGAAAACCAGCGTTTGAGTTGTAATGGAACGCTGAATAGCTGGTACGAAGCCGTGCCGGGAACTTTGAAGATCTAAGTAGAAAACCTGAATTACCCTTCCTTTACAGTTGGAAAGAACAGGGGTAAAACCGATATTTTAGACGTCCAAAACTAGAAAGTCTAGAAGCTTGTAAGTTTGATCCTAAATGCGAGAGTCTGTTTTTCTTTCTTTTTTTTTTTCGTTACCCGATTCCTACGATCAAATAAATAAGCGCTGCAACTGACACTGACACGTGTTTTAACTATTTTTTTGATATTTTTTTCCGTCTTTTCCATATTTTTAGCACAATAAATACTTTTGAGTTTTAAAGAAAATTTAACACTTAGATATTTGAAATATTTCATCAATTGCAAATATTCCCCATCATCATATATAATCTATTTTAGGATGGTTGTATGAAGTGGTTTATGATATATATAAAGAAATTATTAACTAAAATTCTTCTTAATTACCAAGTTTAGTTAATGATTATAAATTTAAGACTAAGGTTTCAATGTATGTTTTGTTGGTTTATTTATTTAACTAGTGTTTTAAGATTGAACTATTCAAAAAATTAATATTTACAATAAATTATTACACATAGCATGAAAAAGGAACATTTTTTACAATAACTTTAATAACTTGAAAAATAATAAATTGAAAAATAATAGAAACAAGTCGAAATTTATATAGTGAAATATTCTTTAAATGAAAAAGTGTATACATAATTATTGGTTTGTGGTATACACCTAGATATGGTGGCCTTATGTAATCAACTAATCATCAAAGTTGCAAATTTAGTTTGTTTTTGCATTCGAGGATAGAAGAAAAGGAGAAAGTTATCTTTTCCACTGCCTAAAGGAGAAGAATTACGTGTCAATGTCACCATGCATCACGTATTGGATGACCTTGGCTAAAGCTGATAACTTGTTTACGCATCGTAGTGTACCGCTCAGCTATTGCATATTTTTCATTTTTTGGTCTGGGAAATTTTCCAGGGGAATGTGACCAGCTGTGAGCCAGCACCAAGCTAAGGTGATTCTTTATGCTTACGTAGTGTGAAATCTGATGATTTCTGCTAAATGACACGACAGCCTTAGTGTTAGGCTGATGTGATGATTTGTCACATGTAGATTTAAGGGTTTACTTCCACGGAAAACAATTAGATTTCAAGCAGGTAACAAGGGCTCATGTTTGTTGAATGCTTGAGGGGATGACAAAGCTCATTGAAATGGCAAACTATGGTGACCAGGGGATGAAGCCGTGGATCACACGTATAGGTTCTTCTTGTTTTATTATGCTATTAGTGCAGATTATGCTAGTCTCTCGCTAATTACTTGATAAAGCAACACCAAATTCGAACAGGACAACAGCTCCCTTCACAGAGCTAGCTTGCTGTTGAAGGCCAAGGACCAAATTCTCTGGCTTTTAAAGGATTTACGATCGGAACCCAGAGCAGTATGGTTTTGGTGACATGCAAAAATCAATGTTCAGAAAACAAAAAAGACACAAAGATAATACTAACTCAGCTACTTTATCAGTGATGAGAAGAGAGCTTTTGCTGAAGGGAAAAGGAAGCTAGGCATGTTAGTGACCTGTACAGTATTAGCAGATGGGAGTTTTCAAACCCAAAACAAAAAGCTAGACCATTCACAGACAAAAGATTGATCCACAGCGATCATGTTCCTTACTCAGCGTTTCGCCTTTCGACTATAACGGGTTGTTTGCTTCTCAGACTTTTTGACCTTAACATTCTTGCCTTTGAAGGTGAATTTGTCATCATCAGAATCATCATCATCTTCATCCCTATACTTCTTGCGTCGCTTCTTGCCATCTCCTCCAAAGACAATAATTTTCCTCGCATCCAACTGTTCTGCAACATCTAACTTCTCCTTTGGTCTCCAAATGAACAGAGACCTAAGGAAACAGATTATATCAGATCATGAAGATTAATGACAACATAAACAATGATAAACTTAACAACAACATGAAAAACGAAGTAACTTGACACTGAAATATCTGCTCTCATAGATTCTTACTAATCGTCTCCATTTATTAAATCCAAATTGAACAATAGCTATAACCTAATCATAGTCATTTAGTCTAAGCTTTGCAAAATCAGATCAACAGAAAACCAACATTTCTAGACCTCTAACTTGAATTAATTAGATGTAAAATATTAATAGTCAAACAAAGCTCAAAAGTAAATCTTGCTTTGCTCGTGTAGTTCTTCCATCATCTGAAACAAATACCATCTAGACCCACTACACATGAAAGGGTGGACAGACCGTCCTAACACTATTGGAAAAATCATATGTGCTTAAATATTGGATGCCCTCACATGTTTCTTCCCTAGCAGCTAAAAAATAATAATGAGGCAGTCGACAAGAAAACATACTATCAACCAAAAACTTCATTGCCAAAAGGGCTTCATGACAAGTTATAGAGGCCTGACAATCAGCATCACAGAATGCAGACTAAAGCAGAGAACAAATTCCAACCTTGAACTACCAGTTGCCAAAACATCATCTCGTGGATGTAGTTTGTTCACAGGACTAATAGTAGTAATGTTTGGATCCATAACCTCAGCTACTAAATGCCCTGTGTTGATATCTATGAAATCAATGGGATGTAGGGCAGTTCCATTAAAATTTTCACTTATGTAGTGACCAATAACTGCTAGAGACTCAGATGGATCCTGCATAAAAAGCAACAATGGAATCTTTAAAGGTGAAAGAATACATGATAAACCAATAATGAAGTATCTTCATATCAAATTTTCTGACCTTGGGATCCCATTCAGCTCGGAAAGGTGTCAAATGTCGATTGAAATCATGACTATGTACAATTTCTCGACTTGGTGAGTCCAAATTACCAAAGATGGAATCCCATATACGAAGGCGATTATCCTGAGATGTCGTAAGAATTTTGCTGCCAGACAACGGAGAGAAATAGGCAGAGTTAACAACACGCCTATGCTCTAGGTTATATAGAGCAGATCCAGCTTCTAATCGACGCATATCCCACAAACGAGCCTGAGGTGATAAGAATATTTGATTGTTAGAAGAGTTATGCAAACTTACATTCAAAACTTGAGTATGTATCCAGACAGTCTTTAAAGTTTTTGTTACTGATGATAGTAGCAAGAAAAACACAAAATCCCCACATATGCTTTGGAATACCAAAGGCTGCAACAGCTTAATATCTAGAACAAAATATCAAGTGATGTAATTAGAAGCCTTACAAAGTGATCATTTCCACAGCTCAACAAAAGATCCGGTTGAACAGGATTACAGTGTAGACCGACGACTTTGCTTCCTTTCTTGTGGATCATAATTGCCTTCCCAGTTCGGCTGTTGGTGCGAGTGTCCACCCTGGATACAATAAAGAAATTTCCCAATGAATTGACTTTAATGCTTAAATTTCTCAAACAATGAAAACTCATAATTTAATACTTGTGGGGCTTGAGTTTAAATTGAATGCATGGGAAAGAAAATTACTCACAGGTAGAGGAAACCAAAGTTATCAGCTACAAGCACAGCACCTTTGTCTGAGTTGATATCCATGCCATAAAGCATCCTCCAACTGGCTGGCCCCTAAAGATGTAAGACATATTAGTCATGCTTGATGATATATTGAGAAACAAAATACAAATAATGCAGGTAAAAACTAGCTTTTCTTCCATTTTTAGTTTGACCCCTTTTGTCCCACCCACCAGAGTGGCCAGCATGAAGGGGGCAGGAAGGGTCCGATGTGCACTTTCCTATCTCTACTTTTCTTACATATTTCTATTTTCTTTATTGACAGCTCTGTCCAGCTAAATGTACTTAAATAACACTGCTGCATCAGTCTTCCAACTAAGAAATGCAATCACCAAGTTTTTCAACTTATGAAAATTATTTTTTTACCAATTACAGAAATCAAATATATCAAGCATCCTAGCCTCCCAGCTTAAAAACTAATAAAAGACATTCCTACTTGAACTTGAAGATTAATAAGGGTAATATATCATCCATATGGATTCAAATAAGTGAATTAACATGTCTTTGACCAGAGGATGAACATGCAAAAAACACACTTCTGCAATGTTAGTTATTATAACTTTATAATATTATCAAAAGCATCAACAATTATGAATCATTCGTATTCAGGAAGTGATGCATAAAGTATAAGATCTTTGGTCAAGGAAACTCTCTTGTATTAGCAGCATTATCAAGGAAAGAATAAGAAATAAAAAGCATAAGATATAGGGAAAGATGAGGTTATCACAAATGATACGCAAATGCTGAAGAAGAAAACTGCAAAATTATTGTTACCTGCCAACCATCAGGATTAAGATTCATTAAAGATGTTGAGATTCCAGTCTCCAAGTCAGTGCAACTAACGGTTCCATCTGAGGATGCACAATATATTGTACCATCATTTGCAGGACTGAACCTGCAAGGATTTGAGACTTCTGATTCTGAAATACTAAACATGCACTAAAGAGTCTACAAAATAGAAGTATATCCCTGTACATTTCTTTTCTTGCACAAAGCCACAAATACATATGCCCTTGTGTAATTTTATGCAGACAAAGTAAGATACAGCTTCAAACAAGGATCACTCACCTCATGTTATTGAGTATACACGAGTGTATGTTTCCATAAACTGTCTTTTCATGCACTTTAGCAAAATCCCAGACACCAAGTTGTCCTTTCTTTAAAAGGAATTACAAAAAAGAGAGATACACATCATTATCAGAAACTTGGTTAACATAATCTTTAACCAAGTACCAACTCATTATCTAAACGAGGATAACCTTGTCTCCTGACAAAAGGATGTGATTGTATGTGGGATGGAACTCCAAACTTGTTACTCTTCTACTGTGGTATCTGATAGCTGCACAATTCACTTGATCTGGGATCACATATGCTGGCTTTATCTATAGTTGAAATAAAAGAAAGTAAAATAAATTCATTTTAAGAATAGAATCACAGAATATCCCCACGAGATCACCATAGAACAGATAATTTCAAGGGTTCATAAAGGATCTATCGAACAAGATCAACTAACATCAAATTGTAAACATAGTCTACCCTTAAGCATAAACTAATTAAATATAAGCCCAATTGCAAAGAAAGCTGGCACCATAGGGTGTAACCAACTAAATCAGGAATTTTCAAATCTATAATATTCAAATCTATAATATTATCACATTGACACTACACATGTTGTCTCAAAAAAAGATTGACAAATAAAAATCTCACTGTAAAAAAATCTTGAGAAGGCAGACAGTAGAACCTTAAGTTTGCAAAAATGTTGAGCCTTGATATAAGTTGCAAGCCACATCCACGACATCAGAATTTCCCAATTCAATTTCCACTAAAAAATTTTAAAACTAGAAAATTTGATGTTAGACTTACAGTCAGCCTCTAAAAAGTCAAAAATAATCAATGAATAGTAAATTCACATTCCATATGTCCAAAAAGGTGATTTCAAAAACTGACATAAATGCATACCATAAAGCCCAATTTTGCTTCATAGTGGTAACAGATGGAAGTGCTTGATAGACATGTGACAACAACTGAACTACCTGGATGGTTTGCCTAACTATTTCAGTTTGCAAACAATGTGGCAGCGTAAGTAACAAATTAAATGACATTTCAAATGGCATACAATATACTGACAAAGAAGATAACTTGAACATGCACAAGATTTACAATCTCAACTCTTGCCGCTAAGTTGCATCTTAAAAGGATCACCAAAAATATTACTCAGCTGACAGACAAATGAATTGCATGTGGAAGCAACTTGAAAAATTCACCTAAACAACCCTAGACGCAATTCTGGTAAAGAGAACAGGAAATTTAACTTGCATCAAAGTATCCCAGTAGAAAACGATAATAAGAAAATGATTGCACTCAAAGGTGAAAGAAATCCAACTGTCACTGCAAAAAAGGAAAATCCAGAGCTTACCGAAGCAATTCCAGGTCTAAGTTGGCGCTCAAATATAAATTCCACTGGGTTCTGGGTATTTTTATGGGGTGCTGGGATGACCCCATGCTGTGTAGCTACCCTATGTGGACATGTCATTGTGGTATGACCTTCAAGATATAAAACACATGAACAACAAACGTGATCAACCATATTCAATAAACAACAAAAATGCAATAGAATCTTCTAAAAAAATTTATAATCATGGTTCATTTCACAGTGTCACAAAACAAGTCAATTAACTTTTAAGTACAGGTACCAAAACAAACAGGGGATCGGTCAACTCTAGCAATTTGTAAAGTACCCATTTCAGTACAGTAGGAAGGAAATAAAAGAAAGAAATTACTAAAAAAAGGAAAAAGAAAGAAAAGGAGTACAGGAGAGAGATATTCAAGAGCAAATATTTGAAAAAAGAAGTGACTGACAACTTACCAGGCATTTTGCAAAGAAAGCAAGGCTTCATTGGACAATCAATATAAGTAGCCCCCTTAAACCCCGCCTCGTGACCCGCCCTCTTACACACCTAAACCACAACTATACTTTACAAAAAGAAAAAAGTTTTCTATTCTTCAAAAAAAGAAACGCCCGATCAAAACCAAAACAAACCCAATTTACTTACTTTGCAGACTTTCTTGAGACTGATAGTAATGGGTGTTTTTCCTTTCCTTTTGGCATCCTTAAAATCTTCCATTTTCTCTTCATTTTCATTATCTTCTTCTGATGGTGGGCCTTCTTCTTCTTCTTCTTCTTCTTCTTCTTCTTCTTCTTCTTCCCCTGAAGAGCTTTGTTCATAGTCCGAATCTCTCGCAATAAGTACCTTAGGAAACGCTGTTCGTCTCGTTTGCGGGGCCATTTCTGGAAAACTAAGTTTAAAAAAAAAACAAAAAAACAAAATAAACACGACAGAGATACGATACAAGGAAACTGAAACTAAAAAGGCTAAATCGAACTGTTTGGGCCAAAGAGGGAAAAAGACGATGACACAAACCAACTTTGCTGCAATCGTATCGGGAGCACACTTGTTGTCGGATTTACAAGTTTGTCCTTAGGACATGATGCTGCCGAGGAAGGGTTTTAGGAAGTTGGGGTTAGTTTCGAGATTACGTTCGGGTGCAAGGCTTGTGATGACGTGGCTCAATGTCCTCCGTTTGGAGTTTGCCACGTGGATCTTTAATAAAACGGCGAAGTTTTGAACTGTTTGGGCTGTCCACGAAATAATAGAAGCTTTAGGTTCCGTTAAATAACCTTAGAATAACTAGTGCGAAGAAAACTTTTTTGTGTAAAATGTTTTATTAAAAATTGTATTGTTTTTTATTATTTTTACAAAATGTCAAAAAAATTTTTGACATTTGGTAAAAATAGTTTACATCATGACTTATCAACATTAATTTTCTACCATAACATCACAAAAATATTAACATTCATTAATTATGTAATATATAATTATTATTATATAAATAATATTTAACTTTATTTATTTATTTATTTCTTATAATATTATTGTACTAGTAAGTTTGTTGAGTCAATATATCTTAAATTAAAATTTTTTAAAAGAAATTTCATGCATGAAAATTTTATTTTTTATTTTATATAACTTTTCTTAATTGACTTTAATTAGTTTGTATTATATTTAGATTGTGGTATCTTAATAAAAATAATTATAATAATATGATCCTTATGAAGTAATTAATGCTGTTTTCTTGAGAAAAAAATAATAACATTTTATTATTATTATTTTTAAATCCATCACAAAAATGAAAGGTAGATAAAAAATGTTTTACATTTTTCTCAAACGTAAAACATATTATGCTAGTTAATATAATTTTTTTGTTGACTCATAAAATATTTGTATTGGGTTCCATCCTATCGGCTTAGTAAACATATGTGGAATAGTATGTATTTTATTTTATTTTTTATTAAAAAAAATAAAAGTAAAACCGGTACATCAAAATAATATGTGAGAATGAAAAGTCTCATAACATCGTTTAATAAGATTGATGCTTTACCCTAAAAGGATCCTCAAGAAGCATCGTATCAATAGAATATTAAAAAACCATATTAATAGAGCCACAAAAATTAACAAAAATGAAAGAATTCAAACAGTTTTAACAAGAGGGCAATCACAAATGACATGAATAATCAACTCAGCTTCTACGTTGCACAAGGAGCAGAACAAACTACTCACATGAAAAGTTCACTTTAATTCAATTTTACATATTCCTTAAATTTCATCTAAACCTCATTTGCATAATTTTTTTTTCTAATCAGTATTTTATAACTATGGTTGTATTTTCATCAAAATTTTTTTATTAATTTCATCAAATAAAATTATCAAAATATTCTCTTTTCAAAAAAAATTCATTTGTTCATACTTAAAAAAAAATTATAATTTTACAAGATAAAATTAATGATATAATTTTTATAAGAATAGAATTTATTCACAAAATGTTAATTGAGAAAAAAAATTATAAGACACTACATGAAAAATGTTGAAATTACATGTAGTTATTTGTCGAATTTATACTGCATTTATAAGTGCAAAGCATGTGTTAGACATTGAAATTCTGGGTCAAACTTTGCTAGAAATTTATACAACTTATTCCTTCCATTCTCTATTATTTGCCTTCAATGACTTTTTGCCAAGATTAAGAAAAATAATATTGGTTTTTATTTATTGTATATTAAATTTTTTATTTTCCATATAATTATTATTTACTTTTTTTAATTAAAAAAAGTAAAGGGAAAAACATGAAAAATAATTAAAACATAAGAAATATTAAAGTAATAGATTTTTAAAATTGAATAAGATAACTTCATTATTTAATCTTTTTAAAAATATGAATATAGGAAACATACTTAAGGAAGCAAAAACTTCTCATCAGGACCTGAGTACATAATAGTAAAATGTTGGGCAAACTTGTTCAAACAAAAATGAATAGCGACAATGATGTTTCTAGAGCTCTCGAGACTTTCAAAAGGTTCAATAGATATAAAAAAAATTATATTTTAAATATTTAATTCAATAATTAATATATTTGTTTTATTTTTTATATTTGAATATTTGATTCCATTTCTAAATTCTTTTTTTTAAATAAAAATATAATTGAGTACATTTTTTTATAGCCTCAAATTGTTCAAATTGAAGCAACAAATCTCAACCTGGAGATAACTTTCACTTTCACTAACTCCTCATCATCAAATGTAGTAAGAAAAACTAAAACAATAACATTACATCAAATACTCATTATTGCCCACTTGACTAAAGCAAAAAACAATTTCTGATATTTGTACGATGGCCAAGTAAAAGTCTCCTTCCATTTCCACATCCAATAAAAGGACCAAATTAAATATAAGTGGCAGATGACAAATTGAGAATTCAATCACAGTACGTAAATAAAGAAAACCAAAATAATTCTAAAAATATATATATAAATATCAACATGCAATAAATTTAAAGCCACATTTTAAACTCAAGGTATCTACTCAGTGACTAAGAAACGATGTCGTTTAATGTCATCTCTAGCTTCTTGGCGTCTCAACGGCTTGTCGTGTATATATACGCTCTCAAGAGTTGGTTCTTTGTTCGAAACACGCAGTGGCGGCAAAAAACGCAGGTAAGGGGAAGAAGCAGAAAGACTAACAGCTTACACAGTTTAAACGCTATTCTTAACAAGAATAATGCTATCCTTGCGCCTCGCTATTCCAACCGTCAACACTCTATCTCCTCCCAAGCCTAAACCGAAGTCTGGTTTAGTTCAAACCGCCAGTAACCAAACAGAGATTTTTCCTTCTCGGGTTTCTGTTCCAAAGCGTTATGGTTATAAGCTGCAAGCAGCTACCACGGACGTAGCGAATGAGGAGATTTCTGTGGCGGGAGAGTTCTCGGAGGAGGAGGAGGAGCTGCCGGAAGGGCTTAATAAAGAGTTGATGCCGAAGCACGTGGCGGTGATCATGGATGGAAATGGGCGGTGGGCTCGCCAGCGGGGATTGCCGACTTCGGCTGGGCATGAAGCCGGTGTGAGGTCGCTGAGGGAGCTCGTCGAGCTATGTTGTCGGTGGGGAATTCAGGTTCTCACTGTCTTCGCCTTCTCTTATGAGAACTGGATTCGGCCTAAGGTGAGATATTAAAATTTATTATTTCTCACTTACTTCTTAAGGTTATACACTTTTGTGTAATATAGATTTCTTATGTGTTGATTAAGATGAGGAAGCTTTGAGAGTGTTTAATTTGGGGTAAGCCTAGTGCAGGTGGAGGTTGACTTTTTGCTGAGTTTATTTGAAAGAACGTTGAAGTCAGAGCTGGATACTACCTCTAGGTATAGTCCATCCATCCCTGCTCCTTTGACACCTCTGTCCTGATTTTGGCATTTAGGGAAACAATTTTATTGTTTATTTAAAATATAATTTCTAAATCATTTCATTACTTTGGATGTATTTTGGTGGAAAAGTGAATATCTAAGGCTGAATTAATCTATATTCAAATTACCGCAAGTCAGCCATTATATGAATCGTTAATTAATTAATGGTAGGGGAACTAATTTGGTGGGAAATCCTTAAGTGAAATGCAAGTACAATTCAACAGCGTCTTGAAACAATTTTTGGATTATATCTCAGGTTTGAACTACCTTTTTTATTTTTTGTTTGGTGTTGCATTTCTTCGTAACTGTCAGAGGGTTATTTATTTCCTTGCAAAGTTTCTTTTGAGCAAAGCAATTCTGTATGATATAGTTGCCTCATTGTGTTCATCTATGTTCATTCATATATGTTCTATTTATTTCCTGATTTGCGTCAGATACATGGGGTGTTTGCTTGAGATTATACTTGATTATCTGATCATGATTTCAGTTTCAACAGGGGAGGCATTCGAATATCTGTGATCGGGGATTCCTCAAAGCTTCCCGCATCATTGCAGGAGCTGATCCATGACGTAGAGGAGACCACGAAAGACAACTCCAGACTCCAACTCATCGTGGCAGTCAGCTACAGTGGGAAATACGATGTTGTACAAGCATGCAGAAGCATTGCTGAGAAAGCAAAACATGGCAATATTCAACTGGAAGACATCAACGAAAGCCTAATTGAGCAAGAATTGGAAACAAACTGCACAGAGTTTCCCTACCCGGATTTGTTAATTAGAACCAGCGGTGAACTTAGAGTCAGTAACTTTTTACTCTGGCAGTTGGCCTACACAGAGCTCGTCTTCGTCCAACAACTCTGGCCTGATTTTGGAAAGGATGAGTTCGTAGAGGCTTTAACTTCATACCAGCAGAGACAGAGACGCTATGGTGGAAGACATTCATAAGCATGAGGCAGTTCATAAACAACAACAGCTGATAACAAAAGTATAGCCTCTAAAAGGCGGAGACCCCAAGTACCAAATTCAATTTTATTATACATATACAGGAATAGTTATACCAATATGTAAAGCTCTCTTCAGAAAAAAAAAATCAACATCAAGAAATTTTATGTATAACCTGATATGTCATGGCTTCTCAAATTTTATATACATCTTTAAAATGGTTCGAGTTTCTGTGATCAGGATCTCCTGCAATAGTTGAGCAGATTGGGATGTTGCAATCCTTTTCTTGACACTGACGTCTTAGATGCTTGGCTGATTAGTCTTGTTCAATCATGCAGGGTCCAATTAATTTTTGGTAAAAGACAAAATGCCAAAATTTCCCAGCCGCAAGTTCATCTCCAAGTTGAGCTTATCTTCATTTGCAGCCAACCGTTTGCCGATAAAACGAGGGAAAAAAAGACCAGGAATTCTTACTTTCGGGTAGTTAACTGATTGGTGCAAGGTTAATTTTAGCTTAGCCCTTTGATTCCTAAGTATTCACTCATAATATCTTAGATTTCTTCCATTCTCAATACTCTCCTAACAAGACACAAGCAGTAAGAATAGAAACCTGGAGGACCCATTTTCTTAGTTCTCATGAAAATTGGATAATGAGTCTAGAAATTCACACCTTTTGTCTTTTTAAATCATTTATTTATAATATTTAGAAAGAATAGTATGTTGAGAATTTAACCAGTCCTTTAAATAACTATATGTTACATTCTTTTTCTTTTCTTTTTATTATTGATGAAGAGTCTCTTTCTTCAATGTATTACTAATAAAAAGTAGGAGCACCTACCTTGACACACCCAATAAGCCAAGGAAGTCCAGTCTCATTATCATCACCAGATATTTTCTCAAATCATCCAATTGGGTTGACTTTTCATTGGGATTCCCTTCTTGTATCAGAAGAAACCAAACCAATAATTAAAAGGACTAATGCCAACATTTAGCTAAGAATGTGACCCTGTTGACCTTATTGACCTTATGCTTAACCATGGAGCTGCACCAATCCCCCATGTTTCTCTCAAGATTATATGTTAAAAAAATATTTTATGTCTATGGATTGGAATAAAAATTGATAGTTCATGTAAATCTCATCGTAATTTGTCAATGGATATGTGCTGTAGAAAGAAAAAAGGAATTGAATTGAACCCTATTGTTAATATAAAGCTAATTGAACCCATAAAGCCCATTTACCTTTTTTTTTTGTTTTTGAAATGCATAAACCCCATGTACTTAAGTATGTTAATTAAGTTCTTGAAAGGGAAACACTTTCCAGCTTCTTCCATTTTATTTGTACTTTTTTACTTTTGGTTTTCAAGCCAATTCCCCTTTCACCCAAATAATTAGGAATAGCAATGATCATATTATAATTATATTATAATTGGGTACTCTATATAATTTTACCTTATTAATTACTCAATGATCTTGTGATGGGTAGGATTCGAGTACTCACTCTTTGAATTTGATTAGAAAAAATAATTTTTAGTTTATAATATTATTTTTATTTATAAATTATTTATAATTAATAAAATTCATTAATTGTTGATTTTTAATTTTTATGAGCTAATTTTAATTTATTAGTTTAATTTTTATTAGTAATACACATAAAAAATAATTTTAAATGGAATCAAATTTTACAATGGGTTCGCATAATATTTATAATTAAATAGTCAAATTTGAGTTTCTGTGATTATGATAATGAATAACGCATTTAAAAAAAAAGTGTAAATATAAATAATTAAATTCGAATTAAAATATCTCAAAATTAGCATATATAGTATATGCTACAAATTTCCTATTTCGGGCACACCATATCTATCCAATCCATCATTTGTACCATACTACAATACAAGGTGACAAGTTTTAGATATTTTTAATCTTTCACAATTTAAGTGAAAAATCGCATAAACCGAACTTGATTATTCTAAAAATCTGTCATGCCTTAACTTACCAAAATTCTAAGCAGGTGAGCAGGCTTACGATCTCTTATCCTAAACCCATAATTAAACCATAATCTCGTATGGTGCGCCATTTATTCAGCTGGTCCCTGGTTTTTAAAACTTTAGGCGCCGCCACCAGGTTGAGCAGATTCTCTACTGACAACCGTAAGCCTTTTCCATTCATTCACCAATAGTGTCTCGCCACATCACCATCAGGTGGGGCCATAAAACCCTTCCATTTTGTCTTTTCCTTCCGCGTCATTGGCTTTTTAAAACAGAATGCCGAAGAGACTGACAATAGGCGATCCATACTGGATTAGGTTCATCTGAGGACAACATCGTAATTTCAGAACCCTTCTCCCTTAGCTTCAAGAAGTCGTAACTGACAGTGTTTGGAAACTGCAGTTAAATTCGTCGCTGGTTACGAGGTTTTTGTCGAAAATTCCAAAAATACCAATTTATTTCTCCCTTTTTTGGTTCGGATAATTGGAGGTATATTTGGAGTTGAAGATATTTGTTTTTCCTGAGGATTTTTTTGTTTGATGGGAATAATTTTCTCGGAAAATACCTGGTCATGGGAAAGTCGTCTTTCAAGGATTCACTCAAAGCGCTCGAAGCTGATATTCAACACGCTAATACTCTGTATATCTCTTTTATCTTTTTTATTCGATTATGTACCTTGTTTTGCTTTTCTGTTTGAATTTTTTTTTATTGCTGGGTTTTTTATTTAACTTTTTCTATGAATTTAGATTCCTTCTTCCCCTCAAAAAGGAACTTTCTGCTCTAAAAAGGGCCAAACTTTGAATAAAATTTTATGGGGGTCTGCTCCTTTTGTTGTTGACTTTCGTTGGGGTTGATTGTTTGTGTACTTTGTGTTTGACAATGCTAGATTCTTAACAGATTATAGAAGTTCTGAACATTCCTCCAAGGTCACATTGTGGTTTAACTAAGAGTGGGTTTAAAATGTCTAGTCAAACACCTGTTGCATTATGAATTGTAGAGATAGATTATAGGGAAGGAAGCGTTTCTAGGTGGTGTTGTGAAGGCATGATCGCATAAACAAATGAAACATTCTAAGCCAAGAAAGAGAGCTGAGTGAAGGGTATCCCTTGATTCTAAATGATTTAAGCTTTACACTTTTTTTCTTTCGGGTTTGTTGATAATTTACATCGACCGTGGACTGTATGTTTGCTTTTCTTGGAAGATATATATTTTAGAATGTGGTTCCTTCTGTTTCATGGTAGTAAGGGCTGGATTTCTGTTATATGTGGTGAAGGCCAGTGCAAGGATATTGGATCCGTGGTAACCTGCAAGATGATGGAGGAATTCTTTGTTTTGTTTTGGATAGCCTACAATGGGGGAATTTTTTTTCTGTGTCTGATTGATAGGATTAGTGAAACAGTGTCCTTAAGTTGTATATGTAAGTAATGGAGAACCAACTGAATGACTGAAATATTCTTAAGCCTAATGTCAAAGATTATGAATAAAGACATTCTATTTTAAATTCTTTTTCCTTTATTATTGGCACTGCTTGATGGTTAATCCTGTACTTTTGCCTGCTTTTTCTCAACTGATTTCAGGGCTTTAGATCATCCAAGGGAGAAAGATGGAGCACGTCTTCAAATGAGACTGTCCTACAGTCCAGCAGCCCAGTTTTTCCTTTTCCTTGTTCAGTGGACTGATTGTCAACTTGCTGGTGCCCTTGGTTTGCTCAGAATACTTATTTATATGGTATATTTCTTTCCACCATATAATTTTCAGCGAGATTATCTTTTGCTCTTGGAATTGTTTGTTTGTGTTTCATTTAACACCTCCACCCCTACTTCTCAAGAGTTCCTGCCCTCCACCAAGTCTTTCACCCTTTCTTTTAACTTGATCAAATTGTAATCTCTTACCTAATAGTTGCTTACAATTGGGCTGTGGCAATCTGGTGAACTGATGCAGACATATGCTGATGGCAAGACCACCATGTCTGTTTATGAGAGGAAAGCCAGCATTAGAGAATTTTATGGTGAGTGCGAATTTGAGAAGTCATAAATTTTGTTAGAAATGCTTAGTCTTACTCTCTCTCTGTTTTATAATTGTTTGCGCTGACAGCATTGTTTAGCTCAATTGAAGTGAAATCTGTCTCACTAGTTTGTTTTTGGGTAAACAGCTCTGATATTTCCTTCTTTATTGCAACTTCAAAGAGGTATCACCGATTTGGAAGATAGGAAACAGAAAGAAGTGTGTACCATGAGGTACCGGAGGAAGGATGAATTTGAAAAGGGGAAGCTCTCTGAAATTGACATAGAAAGGGAAGAGGAGTGTGGGATTTGCATGGAGATGAACAGCATGGTTGTATTGCCTAATTGCAGCCATTCTCTGTGTTTGAAGTGTTATCGGGATTGGTAAGTTTTTCCTTTTATCTGAGTACAACTTGATAGTGTTTTACTATTATATATAGCCACATGATAATCATGCCCTATCAGTTGAACTGTTCTTTCGGTTGATGGTGGTGTGCATCTTACATTCTTGAGTGGAGCCTTTTTATTTCTTCAGCAATAGTACTACGGGTATGGGCAGTTACCATTCATGAGGGTGACTAGCCAGTTTTACTGCATTTAAGGTTAATGTTTGCATTCTGTTATAGGTTCATGGTTCATGTTCCACTCTTCCTTTGCAAGTGACCTGATGCTGTTGTATTTCCTGTCAATTTCAGGCATGGCCGGTCGCAATCATGTCCCTTTTGTCGGGATAGTCTGAAAAGGGTCAACTCTGGTGACCTTTGGATTTACACAGATAAGAGTGATCTTGTTGATTTATCATCTATTTTGAGAGAGAATTGTAAGAGGCTCTTCATGTACGTCGAGAAATTGCCTCTTGTTGTCCCAGATCCTGTATTCGTTCCCTATGATGTTCATGTTCGGTGAGTGCTTTCATGCAGGGCAATGATAACTGCCTGTATATAACTAGCATGGCTGTATATCCATATGATAAATTACCATTTTGAAATGTAAATACTCAGGCTTTGGCCTTCTGACTCCGACTGGCTTCAAAATGTGTCTTTTTTCTTTTTCCTAATAGAAATCCTTACTTCATCAGATAAGGAATGCTTATCTGAATTCTATTGTTTTTGTTGCATAAAATTTTTGAAATGGGTGTATGATTTTCAAGTATAAACATTATTTCTCAATATGTAATTCAATGAGGAGATCAAAGAATAACAAGATTGCCAGTGCCCTGCCAAATTTTAACAGCAAACTGCTATGACTTTGATTTGGAAAATATTATTATGTTTACACACCTTAACAAATCAAGTTGATGGTAAACTTTCACTTTGGATTTGTAGTAATCCAATGAAATTTTGGATAAATAGAATGCAGGAAAGTGGCAGGTAGCTTATGACTGATCTTGCATTCTCATATAATCTGCATAAAAACGAGGTTGATTGTCTTCCTGATAAGTATTATAAGCATATCCTCCATGGCTGGAAATGTCTAGTCCTGCAATTTCCTCTTCTACAGAAATTCTCAAGATTCCTAGCCGATGAAGGGCAAGGAAAAGAGGCCCCATTGTCACAGTCACCCAGCTCACTATCACCAAAACCTCAATCACTTGGCACCCAAGCAAGCCCCAGCCCCCACCCATGAAAAGGCCGTAGGGTCGCACCACCCCGCTCTTTCCTGAGTCATAGGCTTGAATTACAAACTCCTCCTTTGCAAACAATCCAGTGAAAATCAAACCCCAAGCACCACATCCCCCATGCAGTTGCGCGGCCTCTAATGGGTCATCAAAATTCAGCTGCACTGCCAGGAAATTAAGCCCGATCAAGACCCAAGCTGCGAAAAACCCACAAACGATAGCGGCCCACGGCTCAACCACTGAGCAGCCTGATGTGATCGCTACGAACCCACCTAGCAGTCCATTACAGACATCTAGTGCATCCCAATGGCCCACTAGTAACCTTCGGCCGAACAGCGTTACTATTCCGGCTGTTGATCCGGCCAACGTGGTCGTGACTGCCGTCCTTCCAATCGCCGTCCAATTACCTTGATCGGTTGTACTAGGGTAGGCCACAAGAATCTTATCAAATGAGCCTGGATTGAACCCAAACCATCCAAACCACAACAGAAATGTCCCAAGAACAACCAGAGTTGCATTATGCCCACGCATGGGCATCGGCTTGCCAAATGCATCGAACCGGCCAACTCTTGGCCCTTCTATGAAAGAACCCCAAAGCCCAGCAACAGCACCGACCAGATGCACCACCCCACTCCCTGCAAAATCAATAGCACCAGAAGCAAACAGCGGGTTGCTTGAACTGGCACTGAGCCAACCGCCAGATGACCAAACCCAATGAACCACGATAGGATAAACGAACCCACTGAGGAAAAAAGAGAAAACCAGGTAAGCACTGAACTGGGTTCTCTCAGCTATTGAACCACTAGTAATTCCAGCAACTGCAATAGCAAAAGCCCATTGGTAAAGAAAGAAAGAGTAGTCATATGAACTATTAGGAATATCCTTCAAAGCAAAGAAGTTTGTGCCAATAAAAGGGTTAGAGCTATCACCAAATGCAAAGGCAAAGCCGAAGAGATAGTAAGAGATACTACCAACAACTGCATCTACAACATTTGTGAGCATAATATTCATGGCATTCTTGGCCCCGACTGAGCCAGCGCAAAGCATGGCAAAGCCAAGCTGCATAACAAAAACTAAATAAGCAGAGAAAAGAAGGTAAATAGTGTTGATAGAATAGGTAACGCTCTGCTCCCAAGAGATCTCCATGCTTGTTGGAGACTGAAGAGGGAGTTTGAGAAAGAGATAGATGAGATTGGTTGACTGTGATGGAAAAGGGACGAATGGTTTGATAGTTTTGTAACTATGTGAAGTTGTAGTAAACTCGTTGAATGGTAGCTATGCTCGTGCTTTGTTGTCAGCTGTGAGTGTTTTTAATTTAGTAGGAATTGTGAGAAACAATCTTTTTTATAATTATATTTTAGAAATAATCACTCATATAAAATTATCTATTTTATTTAAAAATAAATATAAATATATCAAAATATCTTTAAAACTATTCTGATAAATTAATCTCCTAATATCTCATTTCTAACATTAAGAAAATAAAAATAAATGCTCAGTTATTTAGTTCGCTTAACTCTTTCTCAAAACTTTTTGAACTATATTAACATTGTCAACTCTCTATTGAGCACCATTGTTATCAGCTTTCTTAGTTGTCTGAACTGTATTAACTCAGTCAACTTTCTATTGAGCACCATTGTTATCGTGTTGTGATTTATCTCTCGACATCTGACCATATTATCGTCAATAAATAGACCCTATAGCAGAGATAACATCAAAGAATGTTATTGGATTTTTGTTGTAACACATTAATTTTTGAAATTTTTTGTGTAAATTAAAACAAATATTATCCAGAGTTGTTACACGCGATGCATCTATAATACACATGACGTGTAAAAAATATGTTGAAATAACATGTGTTAGCACCTGGCATGCAACAATTTTATTAAAATGGCATGTAACGTGTTGTGAACATGACGTGTAATATTTTTGAAAATGACGTGTAACATTTTTATATATGACGTGTAACAAATGATTGACAAATTTTAGAACATGGCATGTAATGTGACCACTTACAGTGTTAATGGAGACTTAGAAAGCCCACTTCTCTCTCAGCACAACAAGCAAACTGTCAAGATCATTATACTGTATGAACTACATCTGCAAAACATGGCATACATACTCGAGTGAGTTAACCCATAATGTGTAACACGATATACAGAAGAAAGAAATAAATGTTGTTACACACTATGCATACCAAGTTATTAATGGTCGTGCATACCAAGTAAAATGTTATAACATGTTAAGCATACTAGGTCAAATGTTGTTATATGCTAAACATACCAGGTCAAAAGTTGTTACACGCTGAGCATATCAAGTCATATGTTGTTACACGCCAACGCTGAATAATGTGGTGACACGCCAACCATGCCCTGTTGTGACACTCCAATTACTACAATTACTGTCTTGTGACACGAACTACCTTAAAATACCCAATGTGGTGACACGCCAATCACTATAATTACTAACTCGTTACACAAACTGTGTTAAAACATCCAATTTGGTGACACGCTAAAAATCCAAAATAATAAGCTAAAAACCCCAAAAATCAGTTAACCCACTGAATGCCGGGTCAAATGTTGTAGGTCGTGTTACACGATATGCAGACACAGATCCCCCTTCAAAACTTTGGTACGACCATAAACCATGTCAGCAAAAAAAATATTCTAGTTCTCTCTCTCCACAATTTACCTAAAAACCATAAAACCAAGAAGAAAATAGTTAAAACATAACAAATGAAAAAACACAAACATATCACAACAACCTAGCAAAAAATGAACTAACAGAAAAAAACTTTAATTTGAGACTGACTGACCTTTTAACTGATAACTGACATTGTTGTTGTGATATCGTTAAGCTTGCAAAGAAAGAAGTCGAACACTATAGTCCCTTTAGGAATGAGGAATGAATCAAACTCTTTTAGTTCCTTCACATAGACGTTTGTAAATTCTGAAAAATATATAATAAAATGCGATGGCCTTATAATATTCATTCAGTGGAAGTTCAAATGGTTTCCTTGTTATTTAACTGCATTTTTTTCTATTTCAAATCATGGCGTGTCACATATTCAAGCCATGGTGTGTCACATATGCTCACCATGCCATGTCACACGATTCCAACATGCCTTGTCATAGATTCTCACCATGCCGTATCACACATTCCCACCATGCCGTGTCACACATTCCCATGATGCCGTGTCACACATTCTCACCATCCTGCATCACAAACTCCAAACCCTGCTGTGTCACAATCGTGTCACATATTCTCACTATGTCATCTCACACATTCTCATCCTGTCGTATCACAGATTCCCTTCACGACGTGTCATAAACTCTGAACCCTACCATATCACAACCATGTCACATATGCTCACCATGCCATCTCACATATTCTCACCATTGTGTGTCATATATTCATACCATGGTATGTCACATTCTCACACTGACGTGTCACATATTCTCGCCATGTCGTCTCACATATTTCCTCCAAGTCATGTCACATATTGTCACCCTGTTATGTCACATATTCTTTCTATAGCATGTCACAAACTCTAAACTCTGTCTTGTGGCAATCGTGTCACATATTCTCACCATGACGTGTCACACATTCCCACCATACAGTGTCACACATTCCCACCATGGCATTTCACAAACTCTAAACCTAATCGTGACACAACTGTGTCACATATGGCTTGTTGTAGCATGACCATTTCATGCTTTGGATTCTCATCTTCCTCCTTTTGATTCACTAGTGTATCAGAGATGTTTGGTTTCACATCATTCACGAAGCTTTGGATTCATCACGACCTGTTCCTCGTTCGGTTTAATATCACCCTTCTCGTATAATCTGAATGTTATGTTTGAAATATCTGAAAAACCATCTCCTCCAACATGATCTTGTTTGATTTGTTTTGCACAAGCTCCTAGAAAATAAAAATAGATGTTTTACACAAAATTAGAGGGAACAAATTCTTTGTATATTATTTTTCTCAATATGTGCGTGTATGAGAGTACGTGTCAATGAGGATATCTTATTAAAGTCATTTTTATCCCAAAATCTCCTCTTCGCTTAAAACAATTAAAATTATCTCAAAAATACCTTATATTTTAAGATTAAAAAAAAATTAACCTTTTACTTATTATTACATATCCTTGCTTTTAGGGTAAGTTTCTGAATGGGGTGAAATTTTGACTGGCGGTGCGTTCTACTTCAACTCGGATGGGTTAACTTGGACCCGGTAGACCAGAGTGGAGGAAACTGGATTTTTTATAGGATTATTATCATGTCAAAACTCAGAGCAATGCCACAATTTCCACAGGTTTCTCAAAAAAGATTTGGCAAGCATATAAAGATGAAATTCCTTGTGGATTGAAGAATCTCATTGCCAATTTCTAAGATAAAAATTTATATACTATAGCAGAAAAAGAGAAAAAAAATGCATTGTTCTTGCAGACTGCAGGTTTTGTAGTAGCTGGTATCTTATAAGGAGCAATCATTTACAAACTAATCCTTGAAACTCCAACTTCATTTTACATTTTACAATGGGTCATCCAAGGGGGTGACTGGAGAGAATAATTGATTGCTTCCAAACAAGTACATATTTAACAATAGAAGTGTCATCAAGGAACATCTGGGAAAGAAACGTGTAGTATGTAATAATTGTGAGGTTATAATACACAAACAAGTATATTTGACCAGTGTCAATGATATTCAGTTATGCTGCTACTCTGGCAGATCAGCTATAAATATGTGCAGGGAATAGTATATAGTGTGATAGTTTAAATTTCTATTTACAATGAGCAATGGTACAGAGGGACTAATATGCTTCCACATTGCTGCTCCGATCTACCTTAATTTGACTGGTAAGAGAAGGCCTCATTGTCACAATTGCAGATTCATTAGCTCCAGCTCTTATAGCAGCCTTTCCAGCTTCGACGAACCTCTTGACTGCATCCTCTACATATCTGTTGGCTTCACCCACAGTCATGCTTTTACCAATATATGGGTAAGTATTAAGGACATAATCACCATTGAGCTGTGATGCAAGCTGAACGAGTTCAACTTGGAATTCTGAGAGGCGAGCATCTTCTTTTGGTCCCCATGGCCTCAATGATGTCTTCACCTCAGGTAGAGTTTCTGCATCCAAATTTCAGGATTTATACTAAATCATTCTTGTAAAGATGTAATAAATGATTTGATCAGAAATTTACAAGCATCTGAACCGTTTATCTGACCATTATGACATCCAGAAATCTTTAGTTGACATAAGATAGACTTTCAATATTTAAAATCAAAATAATACGATCAAAACATGCTCTGTTCGAGTATATTGCACTATCTTCCTGCCAGACCAATTATTATGTTTCATCTTTTACTTCTTTGGGCAGCCATATGTGCGAAGGGAGAGGATGTGGTTGTTAGAATAGAAGAGGGCACCAAAGAACAGTGTGCCATTCCTTACAACAAACGACATCTCAAAAGCATGAATCATTCAGTCAAAGTACTCTTATAGTTGCAGGGTTCCCATATGAATGATTTTAGCAAGGAGAAAAGGGATACAATCCAAGGAAATGCACATAACATAATACTAATCAAAGCAAATTCCACCAGTGATACAAGAGCACAGTGCAAAACCATATTCCATATATATATGATAGGAAGTCAACTGATTAACAAAATACAAAGCATTATGTAAAGAAATTTCAACTCAATTCTATGATCAAGGAAATTGATGCATACCTGGACAGTCATTACGTGGAGTTTTGCGCAGGTTAAAATAACTCTCGAAGGTACCAGCCCAAGCATCCCTCTTTGTCAGGAAATTAGAATTCAGGTTGAAAAGTTTCTTCACTGTTGCAGGGATTGAAGAATGTTCGAACTGTGAATGTGGTGTTGGCCCAACTGGTTCATGGATAACTGCACAAAAACAAAAAGGATTCAAACAGACAAAAGGTCAGGAATTGCAGCATTTAGTAAACAACAATGCATGCAATTCAAGAAACGAAGCAAATCAGAGAGACGACTGACAGGACAGCTCTCGGAAATTCACTTCTCATAATATCATTTCAACATAAAAAAGAAAACACTGGACAAATAACACAATATTTCATTATTGGTTGTGCATCTACTAAAAAAGAGCTCAACTTCAGAGCTGTCTTCTGGTTGACTACACAAGTTTTCATCTCTCATACAGCCAATTGTCATCCTCAGAATCAACTGGAAATAGTTAGGGATTTAGCAATCAGGGGGATGTCGGACATGTTTCATTCATTCTAGATAAGAAGCCATATCTTTCAAATTCCACATGAGTGGGAGTTTCAATTCTTGCATATCAAACAACAGTTTTTGAACAAAAGAAAAGCAAATAAAAGCAAATTCAGAAATGATTTGCCAACTCAAAAATAGACTGCTAAAACTTGCTACCTGCTATAAGTTCAGAGCTCTTACATATCTACTATTACAATTTATGTTTATCTGTATCAATGAGTTACATCATTAATGATTAATTTCTATCGTAATATACTTTGTTCCATTAGAATGAATTGTCTTAAGATCTTTTCCATTGAAGAGTCCAAGCTAGACCTCTTACCACACATTGCACACAAACACCCAAAATTCAAAGTCCCATACTAATACGGCACTTCATAAAACCAGGGAAAAAAAAATCAAACTCGGGTTTTAGGGAGTTTAATGAAAAACTATGCGGGCAACTCGACTTTCCCCCTTTAGTGAGCTAACTGATTTAACTTAAAAAGCTAACCCCACTAGTGAACCGCTATATAAAGACACAAAGACATCCCATCAAAAACAGGAAACAATTAGAAGTAAAGCTATGCCCTCTCAACTTTCAAACCATGCTTCTAATCAACACCAATCATTAAACTAAAAGAACAAAAGTTCCGTAACAAATTATAGTTATGATGAGATAGCAAGTTATAATTCACTAACAGTACATTAATTATAATATTACAGAATTATCTCTCCATCAAATATAAACCCATTAAAACAATGAAAAAAGAAATAAATTAACAAATAAACAAAGATTTTTTCTTGGACAAAAGAAACTCACCAGTAGCCTTGTCGATCCAGGGAGAGACCAAGATAGTAGGGACCCTAACACCCAACCTATTAAACTTGAAATAATACGGGTCGGGACCCACAATCCCATCAGGGTTAGGCACACCCGAGACAGGAGTCGGCACGTGATCATAAAACCCCCCGTGCTCATCGTACGTAATCAAAAGCGCGGTCTCGCTCCACTGCGGACTACCTCTAAGTATCTCGTACACCTCCTTCACGAATTTCTGTCCACACGCCACGTCGTGCGACGGGTGATCGTCGTTGGCCGGAAATGCCGTGACGTCAAAGTAGCGTTGCTCAACCACCACGTAATTGGGTAACCTCCCGAGCCGAGCATGGAGCCGGAACTTCAACGCGTAGCTGTGGAATTTGGTCAGGTGTTTCAATTTTCTTAGGCTTTTGAAGAAAAGGGTGGCCGGGATATTTTGGTAATAAATGCCGAAGCTAAGGCCATTTTCGTCCAACGAATCGAAAATCGTTTTCTGAGGGAATCCGTTGATGAGATCTTTCTTGACATTACTCATGGCTCCGAACGACGTCGCCGAATGAACGTAAAACCGGTTCGGTTGAGTCGAAGCGGGAACCGAAGCAAACCACCGGTCGAAAACGCCGAACTCGTTCGCTAACTTCGTGTAAACCGGTAATCGACCCGGTTTAAACCCGCTCATGACCGTTTTTCCCATGCCTTCACCCATGCTCTCCGCTTGTTGGACAAAGCCATTCATCGGAGCGGGGTTGGCTGAGCTATCGTTCGACCCGAAAATCTGTTCTCGGATCGCTTGGAAGGAGTGGCCCGGATCGGAATCGACGAAGAGAGCATCGTCGGAGACGGGAATTTCGGGAGAGTTGGGGTCGGTGACGTTGACTGGATTTGACTCGGAACCGGTGAGGCCGTCGATATCGGGTCGGGTCGATTTGAGCCAACCTAAAATATGGTCAAAGGAACGGTTTTCCATGACGAGGATAACTATAGTTTTAATGGGTCCTTTGATTTTGTGCTTCGTTCGGAAATTATAGTTAGAACTAAGAGAGTGGGAGGATATTATAAGATAAAAGAAGAGAATGAGGGCGAAGGACACTCGTCGGCCGGAACTCATTTTCCGGTGACGGTGAAGATAGTAAGAAAAGCAAAATGAACGAGGATTTGGTCGTAGGCGTACGAAATACAGTATAACGTTTTGAGAGTTATTCGGTAGAAGAAACTGTATTTAAAAAAGAGGTTTTGTTTTACTTCAGTTCTGGTTTGGTTTTTCAAAGACCCACAAGCTGCCCGTGGAGAATGGTTTGGGCCTTTGCCGGAAACCATACTTTGTGGAACTGCTCTGACCCATGGGCCTGTCACGGTGGGGTAGGCTTTGATTATATTGGAAAGAATATTCGAATCAGAACCCGGACTTCCAATGAGACTTTGGAAGAATTTTCATTTAATTAAATGTTGGATTTGATATTTAAAAATTAATATTTTGTCTTATCTAGTTTATATGGGGCTTGGAAAGATATTTATTTATAGCATACAAATTTTGTCTGATATTCATAATTTTTAAATAAATTATCCGTAAGATGGTTGAATTAAACGATTTAAAATAAAATAAAATTAAATTGAAATTGACGTTTTCTTTTAGTAATAATTGATCGTCATGCTGTTTTATCACCCTAATTATTTATTTGCATATGAATACAACGCTTGATGTTTATGGAAAAGGGCATGAAATGGCCCTTTATCATCACTAATGTCTACCAGTCGTTCATGGAAGATAACTTGACTGAGTAGCTTCCGTCGGAAATAAGCAACGACATTGTTGACTATGCCTTACATCAATTAATTGCGGGACCAACAAAGAAAGCAACCTTGATGAAAATATGCAAGATGTTTTCAACAGTAATAAATGGACGACACAATTCCACGTTAAAAGAAAAAGAAAAAGAAAAAATATAAATATAAAAAAACACAATTTATTATAATTTGATTAAAGTGAGCAAAATTTTAAATTAAATCATAATTATAAAGATAATTAAACACTTTTTCAGTACACTATCAATAATAAAATCTTAAAACCCAGTAATATAGATACACGTCTTTTATTCAAACAAAACTTAAGATCAAAAATAGGATGATTATCCTTGTCCAAAAAGAGCTGGTTTCTTTTTGAACAATTTAATAATTAAAAATCGAAACCGCAAGAAAGAAGAGCCGTTGGGATCTACTATGCTGCAAAAAACCACATAGAAAACCAAGGATTCACGTAATGATCCATGATTTCTCTGGAGAGGCAAAGACCAAAGACTATAGACTAAGCTCAGGGAATAGACTAAAGATACTAGATGCATTTTCTGGAACATAACTGGCTGGTGAAGGGCTCATCGTCCTGTCCAATGAGAAAAGGGAGTGGTTGACTGCAGGAAGCTGTCATCGATCAAGACATGGGCAACTAGATGTAACGTCTAGCTAGTGAGGATTAAAAAAGATCGACTGCCATCTTGAGCTTGTTTTGTCTCCATCTAGGAAGCTTGTAGAAGGCTCCCTTCGGCATGCCAAATTTTTCTGCAAACTCTTCCTCTGACAAGTATGCCTATAGGAATATGTAACCACAAATTCAGATGCATTCAAGGATAGGCTGAAGAAAGTAATGGCAGTGATTAACAGATTATCATTGTAAGAAATGCTAATTTCAATCTCTAAATTTTGGTTGTCTTATTTTCACATGCAGTCTCATGTCAAAAGTTTTGAAATTTTTTCACAAAATTTAAAGGACAAGAGATCCCCTTTTTCCCTCGGCAAATAGCAAGTCACATTGTTTCAAATTGCAGCATCGAAGCAGAGCATTGAAACTTAGGAATTCATAAATGTTTAAGTATCCTTAAAAGGTCCATTTGAAGTTTCAACACTAGGTGGAACAAGATTTTAAAAGCTGTATACTGTCAGCTGTTACCTCTCTTTTGGTCACATCTATGCCTGAAACTGGGTCAGTTGACACCACTGTCAATCTTTGATAAGGATATATTAATGAATTTGCACTGGTCTCACTTGCATCAATCTGGACTGAGTTTTCCTTTGTTGAAGGGGAGCTTGGTTTCACTACTGGAGAATCTGCGAAAAAAGTAATTCAATAAAAAATTACATATTTTACCACGTGAAATACAGCATAATTAAATAGCTAAGTTATAAATAAAAGAAGGCATCCCAGCATAAAGTGCACAGTAAATTAGTTTGCAAATGGAGTCACTCGACCTCAGTCTACCCATGCAAGTCTCTGTCAGAATCATTCTGCCTAGTGCAGATTCTTCATTATCCAAACTAAAACACTCTGAATCAACTGTGCAAGTTGTTGATCCAAGAGAGTTAAGGTATTCCAAATTCAAGGTCATAATCAAGTTTTGTCTGGTCATTCAGTAAGAATGCAACTCATTGAGTGGTTTAATGCTAGGAAAACTTACAATGACTCTTTATATCTATTACATCAGATGCATTACTTTTTCCCCTGTTCTAAAATATTCGAATCTGTTGGATCTTGTAGAGATTCTGAACTAATGAAATTGCATTACCCTATATGGGCACAAAAACTTAATTTAAGCCTAAATAATTTCATTGAAAAATCAATTATGCTCAATGCACCTTGATAAGGAGAGGACCCCGTAAAGAGCTTCCTGACAACTGGTGTTGGGCTGGATACATTGTGGTTGTCAGAAAACTTCAAATGTGAACCTGATCTGCTAGATGCAGGAGATACACTTCTTTCCCATCCATTTGAACTGCCAGATCTGCTTCTTTGGCCATCTGGGGTGGCTTCCCTGGAGTAAGCTTTCCTTACATTTCTTGCTGGTGCCTGAATGGTATGGCATGAAGCTTGTGTAAAATTAATTTTGTTTGACTTATAAAGTTAAATAAGTATCCCAATGTATTTCAGTAAAACATATGTTATATAGACAAAATGTGGTATTTGCTAATAAATTCTAAAAGGATTAACAAAAAAAAAAAACCAAAATTCCAGGGTTGTATTATTCGGTTTTGCTTGATCATAAAATTCTTGCAAGGAAAAGGTTTCTTCTATTTGAATCAAAGGTGCCTTCGGCCATCAATGACAACTATTTGGCAATAAGTACATATATTGTTGCACCACCCTATAGGTATTGTCACCCTTGCCTAGGCCGCAGAAAGCTTAACATCTGTTGAGAATGCCAAGGGACAACTAGATCTTGAAAGTTATAAATAAAATATTTTGTAACTTCGGCACATAGCATCTGAATATGTAGCAGTAAAGTGTCCCACAAACACTAGTTCCTTTAGTGAATAATTAAACAAGAATTACAGCTGACTGTTTTTCCAATTGTCTACAGTAGACAGGACGAAAAACTCCCACTGACTTGAGACCTTATTTAGCAGCTTCCCTGATTAAGCATACTGTGAAATGTCACTCATGGACGAACAGGCAGATTCCACTGTCCAACAAACTCATGTTTCTTTACTCTGTATTCTAAAAGAAAACTGGCTGGCTGTCATGTCTATTCCATACTACATACAAAACTCCAAGACCAAATATCAATGAAGATATCCTCTTTCTTTAACGGTGTGACAGAGACCAACAGAAACTCAGGAAAAAGAAACAAGCGGGAGAAACTACATCAAGTCAAAAAAGAATACCCACATAATGAACCTAATACCTAAATTCTCATACATAAACATCTAATTAAAGCTCAGTAACAGTCACTTACAGTTCCACTTGATGTTTTCCCCTTCAAGGTAGCAAGCTTCCGCTCAAACGAATTGCCATGCATCTGCAAGGCAGCAACTCAATTAAAATTTTAAACTGGGTGTGTTCTTGCTGCCAAAATGCATAACTAAATCATGGAGATTCCAGTTACACAATAAGTTCCCACAGAGCAAAACTAGGATATTCTCTGATAGGAGGAAAAAGTAAATAAAATGAAAAACTTAGTAATAAAATACTTCTTTGTTTATTATGTTACTTTTTACTAATGTTACTTTTTGAACTTAACATTAGTTCAAACCATTTAATGCAAGAAATAAAGATACATAATAATATAATTAATAGATAAACAAGTAAGCATTTAATAAATAACTACGTATCTATATCATCAAATAAATTAGTAAGTACATAAAAATAAATATATTCATAGTTAATTAATGAAATTAAATAAATTAAAATATTCATAATTAAGTATAAAAATACTATTGTAACATCTTAAAAAAATATAATTTGTTACTTATAAATATGTGAAATATATTATTAACTAATATATTCATTTTATTTCAATATATAAACAATTAGTAATTATTTCATTGAATTT